CTGCAAAACTGGAGACCCCAAATGCCCATCAGCAGATGAATGGATACACAAACTGTGGTCCGATCATTCCACAGAACGTTATTCCGTCACATAGGAGATGGAAGCATTGACGCATCGCATCCCAGAGGAGCCCTGAACACATCACACCACGTGAAGGAGCCACAGAGACCGCGTTGAGCGTGAAGAACGGCAAACCCACAGAGACAGGATACAGATGAGTGACTCCCAGGGCCTGGGGGCAGGGGAAGGGGAGTGGGTGCAGTCTCTCTGGGATGACGACAATGTTCTGTGGGGATGGGTGCACCTACCCGTGAACACATCAACCCCCACCCCACCGTGCACTCTGCAGGGGGGTCATGCTAGGAGACTCACGCCTCCGTGAAGCCGCTAGAGTTTGCACCCCTGCCCTGCCTAAACCACCCTGCTGCACATGCCCATGGCGCGTCACCCCAAATCCAAACCCACCCCTGTAACTCACCCAGCCCCTCAATACCACTGCCCACCTCCCATCTGCGGCCTGTCCTCCACCTGCCTGGCACCTTCTCACCTCTCAAGGGTCCACCCACGCCCCGCCCCGCATCACATGGCCGGGCTTCCTTCCTCCCCAGCGTGCACCACCACCTGGAATCGCCCGCCCAGCGCACATGGCTCACTGAGAGGAAGCAGCCTGGCACTGGAGTCCTTGACTGGAAGGGGGCCGCTCAGGCCTCAGACCCCTCTTCGGCCTGGGTGGTGATGCCCCACAGCCCCACTGGGGTTGCAGGTAGACCCCTCCGCTCTCCTCAGCAGCTCCTACCCACTTCCCTTTTCTGGGCGCGGCTTCACCCTTTGCTCCAGGCCTGAACACCCATCTGTTCCCTGCTCTACCTCCCACCCAGACCACCTCCCACACCCACAGCTGGTCCTGCCAGGCTCTCACCTGTGCTTTCAACACTGAGGACAAGTCGCAACACCATCAGAACCTTAAGCCCTTTTCTGGGGGGGGGGGGGGGGGAAGGGGCCCTCTGTCAACTTTTCCTATTTCTTCCACGATAACGTTTGGATTTTTTCCATCTTATCGGGAGTCAGCTGGGTAGGTTGTACTTCCCCAGAAAGCAATCTACGCCTCTTTCGGGTTTTCCAGCACATTGAAAGAGCTGAGCAAAGCAGTCCCTTATGATCCTGCTCCTCTGCCCCCCCCAACCCCACTTTCTTTCGCTTTTCCTTGTCTGGGCTGCCTTCACAGTCCTCCCATGAAGAGGACGACCCTACTTCATGGCTTTCTTTCTCCCACCCACGTCCCACCTGGCCAAGCAGGCCTCACCCTTGCTGTCGGCCACCGTCCCTGTATCCTCAGGGGCACCAACTGCCCCTGCCTCCAATCCTGTGCAGCCTTCCCAGGGGTGCAGTGCACGCCACCCCGGAGCCCAGGCAGGTGGCAAACTCCAGACACCCTGGTCCCCACTCCCTGCTGTCTCCAAAGGAAACCAGTTTCTAGAATCCCTAGAACCTCCCCGTACGGTTACGCGGCAGGCGCGGCAGGGAGCGTGGAGGCCACCTGCCACCACCCAGGAACACCGAGCATCCAGATCTTCGGACACGTCCGTGAACACTCCGATTGTTAAAGTCTTGGCAACTAACTGAAAATTGCTTAAACAAACAAAAACATTCTCTAGGCAGGAAAAAAAAAAAAAATGGAAGCATGCCTATAGGCCATGTAACATCTGTCACCCCTCAATCAGGCCAGACCCCCATTCCCTGGTGGATGTGTTTGCATCCTTCCACCTTGTCCATTCTCCCCATGGAGCTGCTGTCAGGGCCCAGGGAAAGTAGCGCCTTCCCCAGGAAGTCTTCCCAGACTTCTCCCTTCCCTCAGCTCAACGGTCCTCTCTTTTCAAATAACCAGGCACAGACGACATCTCAGATCCTATGCACAGGGTGCAGTGGGTTCATAATCCGGATCCCCACAACCACTGTCAGAGGTGAGGACAAGCTCTCTGGGCAGGCGGCCAGAGTCCGACTCAGCCCCACCACCCAGCAGCCATGTGACCTTGGACAAGGTGCTCCGGCCTCTGTGCCCCTAACCCTCACAGGCCCCGCGTCAAGATCAAAGGAGACAATGCATGTGAAGTGCTCAGCCAGAAGCCAGGCACCCAGACCGTGCCTGGTGACCCCTGATGAGAACTGTTAAAGCTGGGGTTCAGACAAGTTTGGTGGCTGACTCAACACCACAGAGCCACCAAGTAGAGGAGCAGACTCCAGCCAGGCCGGCCAGCCTCCAAGGTCATCGTTCCTTCCCTCCTCGTCCTCAGGATGCTGGCACTGGCTCAACTGCCATAGTTACAGACGTGTCCTGCAGCCCCAGGTGTCAGGCGGCACAGCCCAGGGCCCAGATCCACCCAGCCAGGCTCGGCCTGGCTGGCGGCTCAGCAGTCAGAGGAGGCCACAGCTCTCTGTGCTTCTACAACAAAGCCACTGGGACTATTAGTGTGAGTCACCCCTGAAACGAGAGGCTGGGGCTCGGAGTGCCCTGAACCAGCCAATGACCCTTCGTGACAACGCACCCCATGGCAGAGGGAGCGAGTCCCCAACCCGATAACCTTTGTCTCCCCCAGACCCCAGCCTTGGCCAAAAGCGGCTTATGGCGAAGGGCCAAGCTCTGGAGTCACATGCAGACCAGTGCTCCCTGTGCAGCTGTGGGGCCTGGGGCTCCATCCCATGCCCCTGAACCGGGGGCAACCACTCCCATCCCAGGACCTCTGAGAGCTCAGGACAGTGAGGACCAGGCATAGAACCAGGCACAGGACCAGGCACCTGCCAAGTGCTCAGGAAGCAAGTGCTGTCAAATTTAGTCTGTCACCACCAAGAGGCCAGAGCCACAGCTGACTCCTGGAGGCCCCAGCACATGCAAGGCTTTGGGCAGATGGAGGACAACCGAGCAAAGTTCGGAAGCTGAGATGTGTCTGAGCATGGGTGCCCGGAGAGCTATGTACCCGGCAGTGACTACCAGACACCTCCGGCCAGCCAGGCCATTGCTGGAGGCCGAGGGCCAGAATGGTGAGCCCAGGGTTCACCATCACCCTCCCCCGAGTCCCAGGGTCCTCTAGGCCAATCCCTCCCTGTCCTTCAAGACACAGGACACACCACCTCCCCCAGGGACACGCTTCCCTCTGGGCACCTATAGTTCTGGGAAACTGACTCCCTGCTTCCGTATGTGTCTCCCTGACAGGCCTCCAAGCAGCTGCAGGGCAGGAACTGCGACCCAGGGTTGCCCGGCTCTGGGTGGGGCACAGGGAAGCCTCAAGAACGTGTGCTGAGAGACCCTTCTCTCCCACCCCATGGCAGAGTGCTGTGACCACGGGGCCCATGGGCCCAGCACAGGGCCAGGCTTATCCAGGGAATGCCGGACTGTGCTCTCCGCCTTAAGGGAGCCAGGAAAGAGGGAAGTGACAGGTCCACGGTCACCATGCTGGAAGAGACAGGAGCAAGGCCTGACCTAGGAATGCTTGGCTCCAGAGCCCTCCTCACATACCTTACACTCAGCTCTCTCGAGGTGTGCTCTGGCTTTAAAAGGAATACATCAAGAGCTTCCCTACCAAGTCATTCCTTTCCATCCACGTAGAAACTGAGATGCTGCGCTTATTTGTGCGGCAGGCTCACCAACTGCCAGGTGTGGAGCTGGGATCTGAACTCGGGTCTGTCTGACCCCAGCACTGCCAACGCCGCAGTGCTGCTCACGGGCCAGGCATGGGGACCAGCCCTTGGAGTTCTCCCCTCCTCGCTCGCCAGGGCGGGGGTGGGGGTTAGATCTGGAAGGCTTCCAGGGGGAAAAGCTAAGACAAGAGATAACAGGTGGGAATCTGATCTGAATGCTCTCGGGGCTGAGGCAGAAGGCAGGCAGGTGAATGACAGCTGCGTTTGCCAAAGAGGCTTACAGTCTGAGAAGATAAGCCCGGGTCAACGGCAACTGTGCTTCCCAGAGCAAGGGCAGCCCTGACTCCCACCTGGATCCTCAGCGCGGCCCAACGCGGGGCCTGGCACCAGGAAACCGCTCTGGACGGGGCTCCCACGGCCCCCCTGACCGCCCCGCAAGGGCGCTGGGGGAGGGAGTACTCCGCGTCCAGGTCCCCGTCTCTGCCCGCCCGCTGCAGGGCCTTGTTCATGCCCGTCCCTGGTGCCCAGCATGGGGCCGGGCCCTGGGGGAGCCTAGGGGTCACTTTCCGTCGTGCGACGCCGCCATCCTGGCCTGCCTGACCCCCGTCTCCACGAACCGGGGCGTCCCCACTTGCGGCCGGGGCTGGGCATGGGGAGTCAGGCAGCACGGCTGCGCGCCCGGCCACCGTCCTCCCCGGTCCGCGGGCCACGCGGTGCCTGACCTTGGCCCAGCCACTTCCCCTGCGGCGCACGCGCTTCCTGCCCGCCGCCCGCGCCGGGCCGAATGAATGAGCCTCCCGCCGGGCCACAGCCCGTCACCCCCGGCGGGATCAAAGGCCGCACGCAGCCCGCCCGGGGCGGCAACGGAACCCGGGCTTCTCCGAAGAGGGGAAGGAGCGGGGAGGCGGGGGAAGCAGGCCGGGGACCCAGACGCGCCCCCCGGGCCGCCGTTTCCGGTCAGGCCGGCCCGGCCCGCGCGTCCCCTGCCCCCACCGGGGCCTCAACTTCCCCCGGGAATCGCCACCACTTCCGGCCACGACCCGCCAGGGAGGCTGCGGCGGCCCCACCCCCCCGAGCCCCCAGCCCGAGCCCCGGCGCTGCGCAGGCGCGCTCCCTCCCCGGCGCGGCCCCGCCGCGGCGCCGCGCAGGCGCGCTCCCGCGGCGCCGCCTGGCGCGCCCTCGCCCGCCCGCGTCACCGGCCGCGCGCCCACTCACGCCCCCCCAGCACGCGCACGCGCACTCGCCCGCCCAGTCGCGCCCGCCCGCCCGCCTCCCCGCCCGCCCCCCGCCCGCAGCCGGGCTCCCCGAGGCGCGCGCCCACCCCGGCCCCGGGTTCACGCCCCCCCGCCTCCGCGCCCTCCCCTCACCTCCTCGGTCCCGGGGCCGCCGCGCCGCACTCCTCCTCTCGCCTCCCTCGCGGACGGTGGCAGCGGCGGCAGCGGCGACTCAGACCCTGGGGTCAGGGGGACGGGCGCCCAGGCCGGAAGTGACCTTCCTGGCCGCTTCCGCCCGCGCTGCTCCCCCTCCCCTTCCCACCCCCCCGCCGGCCTCCACCCTGTCCTCGCCGCTCTAGGAAGCGAGCCCGGCGACCCCCCCAGCCGCCGCCCCCCCGGCTCTACGGTGCGGAGCGGGCGCCCCTGGGAGCCACTTCCGGACGCGTCTAGGACACGGGCCTCCCGTCCCCGCTCTACGGCGCCGTGCGCTGAGGGGCTCCGGGCCCCGCCCCCTTCCAGGACAGGAGGCGCGGGCCCGGCCCGTTAGGCGGAGACTTCCGGGTGTCTCGAGAGGTGCCCCCCACGCCCCGCCCCGCCCGGCGCCCGGCGCTCGCGCCTGCGCGGTCGGCGCCCCGCGCCGGCCTGGGGCGGAAAGGTGTGGGGGAGAGTGGCGGCGAGGGCCGCTCGTGCCACCCCGGGTCCTCCGGTCGTCTCTATCATCGTAACCCCTTCCGTGCCGGGGCCCGTGGCGGGCGCGGCGTCCGCTCGCAGGGGCGGCTCTGGGGCACAGCCCTGACGAGCCCTACCCGGTCCCGGGGTGGGCTTTTAGGAGGAGGGTCCTGCTGCCCCCGAGGCAAGCCCCACAAGTGCCCTCGCTCACTGCACCTGCCGCTCCGAGCGGCCAGCCCCTTCCTTCCCTGGGTCCCCTTTCCTCTGGGTCGGACAGGGGAGCTGCACTCAGGTTTCCTCTGGGAAGCTCCCCGAGGGTCGGAGCCACCCCTGGAGCTAGGAGCGCTCCCTGTCCTCCAGCCTCGCCCGTCCCTTGGCCTCAGTGCCCTCCTCTTTCAGGGGGTAGTGGCACGTGGTGAGCCTGCGAGGGCTTTGCATGCCTTAGGACCCGTGAATAACCTGTTCCCATTTTGCAGCTAACAAGGGACCCGGAGTTCAAGGCCGAGAGCCCCACGCCCAGAACGCAGAGCCCGGGCTCCAGGCGTGGCCTCGCTCCCGATTCTAGTGTTTGACCGTGCTTCCACCTACTGCCTCCCCTAGCGGACCGTCGATCCTAGCAGCTGGGGCCTCACCTGCTTCCCGCACGTGAGGCAGGCGCTTAGGAAGCACTCGCTGAAGGGTAGCTCTCTTTTCAGTGCCCTCCATAGTGTCCTCATAGGCCAAGGCCCTCTGGTCACTGTCGGCTCTGCACTTGGCTGGCTCTCACGTAAGTGGCAGATGACTTACTGTGATTATTTATAACCGTTTTATGATCATCCTCATTGAAACAGTCACCAATAACAAATAAATAAATATAAACAACGAATTTTGTTGAGAAAGAAAGAAAAGAAAAGAGAGTCACCAAGCTTGGACATCAGGAGGATGGGGATGCACAGTTCACTTGTTGAATGACACCTCTCACAGCTTCAATGTAGTGAGATAATCTGTGCAAATGTGCTTAATTCAGGACCTGAGTCATAGTGAAGTCTCAGTGAAAATGCTAGTGATCAGGAAGACTCATTAGTATTATTACTTCTGCTCCAGCCACCGTGTGGGTCACATCTCAGTCTGCATCAATCGTGAGGTGTGCGTTGTTGATCTAATAACATCCTTGGGCGGGGGCGGGGGGCGGGGGGGGGGAGCGTACTGTATGAAACGTACATGTAAATAGTAAGATGCCTGTGTCTCACCTTCAGAAATACCACAAAGGTAAAACTTTTAAAACTAATTATTATGGGTATGACCTTTACATCGTGAGAGCTGAGTATAAGACGCATCTGTGCTCCTCTGACTCAGATCACTCAATGTGTCTACAATGGCCGAAGGGGGGGGGCGCACAGCTTCCTCTCTCTCCCCTCCCCGCCCTCCCAGCTGGCCAAGCTGGTGAGACCTGGAGTAGCTATCTTGGATCACCAGACAGAAGCTACGTATTGAGGATGGTGGAGTAACAAGCTAGGAGGGGCAAGACAGACACCTGATGGCTTTGTGAAGAACAGGTTCTGTGTGCCTCCCTGAGGAAAACTACCTTCTCTCTGATTGAAACCATTGATAATTCTGAGTCCCTCTTCAGACAGCCAAACCAATGATGGCATGTCTCCAAAACAGGATGGGGCTGCAGTAGAGATGGGTAAGTGATCACAGAAACCTGCCCTTCCCTTTCAAAGTATAGAATCATCCCTGGAACGCTTCGTCCCATCCGGGGACTGCAGTTACCAGTCTTGGCATCTGAGTGTGGCCTCGTGATTGGTACTTATCACTAGGATTCGGGCAGAGGGATACAGACCTTTTCCAAGCCACAGCTCTTAAAAACAAGCATGCTTGCTCCGTGCTCTCTTCCCTCCTGCTGGCTGGGTGCAGAAAATAACCAGGTCCCAGGGCATGGTAGAGCCCTGAGAAAACTGGGTCCCTCCACAGACATCTCACCCAGTGCCCAACACCCACCCGAGGTGGTTATATCATCAAGAAATAAGTATCTGGGGGGCGCCTGGGTGGCTCAGTCGTTAAGCGTCTGCCTTCGGCTCAGGTCATGATCCCGGAGTCCCGGGATCGAGTCCCACATCGGGCTCCCTGCTCGGCGGGAAGCCTGCTTCTCCCTCTCCCACTCCCCCTGCTTGTGTTCCTGCTCTCGCTATCTTTCTCTCTGTCAAATAAATAAAATATTAAAAAAAAAAAAGAAAGAAAGAAGTATCTAGGGACGCCTGGGTGAAGCCTCTGCCTTCGACTCAGGTCATGATCCCAGGGTCCTGGGATCAAGCCCCGCATTGGGCTCCCTGCTCATCGGGAAGCCTGTTTCTCCCTCTCCCACTCCTCCTGCTTGTGTTCCCTCTCTCGCTGTGTCTCTCTCTGTCAAATAAATAAAATATTTAAAAAATAATAAAATAAAATTCAAAAAAGAAATAAGTATCTAATTTGTACATGTACATGTACATGTTTATAGCAGCATGAGTCACAAAAGATGGAAAGAAGTGGCTGTGGAGAAATAAAGGAAATGTGGTTTATACATATATTATTCAGCCTTAAAAAGGAAGGAAACTGCGACACACTCTCCAATATGGGTGAGCCTTGAGGATATAATGCGAAGCGAAATAAGACAGAAAGACAAATGCTGGACAATTCAGCTTCTATGAGGTAACTAGAGGAGCCAGGTTCATGGAGACAGCAAGTAGAGTGGTGATTTCCAGGGGCTAGGAGCAAGGAGGGGAGGGGGAGTGAGTGTTTCATGAGTCTGGAGATTGAGTTTTGCAAGATGAAAAGAGTTCTGGAGACGGATTGTGATGGTTGCACAACAATGTGAACTAAAAAGTGGTTAAAACGGTAAATTTTATGCTATGTATATTTTATAACTCTTAAAAATTTTCTAAGTAAAAAAAAGGAAAGAGGCGTGTAATATGATGTGCCATTATAATGTATATTGCTGATATGTATATCACTGGTCTGAATGTTTATGTCCCCCCAGAATTCATGTTGAGATGTAACCCCCCAAAATGATACCAGGATATCAATATTAGGAGATGGGGCCTTTGGGAGGTGATTAGGTCACAAGGGTGGAGCCCTCATGAACAGGATCAATGCCCTTATAAAAGAGACTCCGGACAGATCTCTAGCCCTTTCCACCATGTGAGGATGCAGCGGGAAGCCAACTATGAACCAGGAAGGGGCCCCTCACCAGAAGGTGACCATGCTGGTGCCTTGATCTTGGACTTCCCAGCCTCCAGAACTGTGTGCAATACATTTCTGATGTTCATAAGCACCCCCAGTCACAGTATTTATTACAGACTAAACCATATGTGTTTCTTTCTTCTGGAAGGTTCCTCTAACCTAACTAACACAGGGTTTCCAGATGCGGCAAACACCATGGCCATGCTACCCTTCAGGGACGCCTCAGCATCTAGATGGAATCGAAAGCCATGGGAACGAATAAGATGGTGCAGGAGGGAAGAGAGAGAGAGGGAGAGAGAATGGAGCGTGCTTGCAGAGAAGGAAGCAGACGGGAGCCATCTGACCCGAGCTAGGCCAATCCGTGCCCTTCCTTGGGAGTCTTGTCTCTGGGAGGGAGAAGCCTTGCTTCTTCTCCACTGTGTGGAGAGAGCCAGTCTACCGGAGGAGAAAACGTCCTACCCTGAGAGATGACAGGTGGGGATTGAATGACCTGGCTGAGCTCAGGTGCCCCCAGCATCCCCTAACCCCCCGTGAGGTTTGGTTGTTCGGCTCACCCTTCCACTAAGTGAGTCCCTCCAGACTCCTTCCAGGAAATCCCCATTTTGGCCACTTGGGTTTGTGTCGCTGTGACCAAAGCACTGTGCACACGCAAGCCTCATTCGGGGTTGAAATGAGTGAATGAAGGCGGGCTGGGTGAGGTGATAAGTGAGCATGCAGCGCGGCTGTGCTCGCAGAAACGCAGGGTGCAGGGGCCCAAGCACCAGCTGCCACCCTAGACAACCCCCTCTCGTGTGTCCCCTGATGAAACCTCCTCAGCCAGAACAGCTGCGGTGTGGAGAGTGGACAGAGAGTTTGCTGCTGTTGTACAATCACTGAGAAGTCCCCCGAGTCACAGAGAAAGACACACGCACACGGTCACACTTCTGCCATGCTCATTATTATGATAATGAACAACCATCTAGAGTCTTCATCCTGGGCTGGACTCATTGCTGAGTGCATTGTTCCAATCCACGTGCTTCCTCCCCATCTCACCCCCAAGAGGTCGTGTGGACCCTTCCTCAAGGTTGTGGACCTCCAGATGCCGCACCGCATCACCCGGGGCCCTGTGAGAAATGCAGAATCCCAGGCCTTGCTCGGACCTGCCGAGTCAGAATGTGCATTTTAACCTGGTCCACAAGCGAAGTCTCACCCACGAAAAAGTTTGCAAAGACTTAGCGCCCAATAAACCACAGGATGCCCAGTTAAATTTGAATTCCAGGTAAATTATGAGTTATTTTTTAGTATAAAAATGTGCCAATACTTATCCAAAAAAAATCATTTGTGGTTTGTCTTAAATACAAACGGAACTGTGCATCCTGTATTTTTATTTGCTAAATCTGGTGACCCTGTGTAGAGGACGCTGTGGGGGATTTTAGCACACCAGACACCCTCCTCGCTATGGGTTTCCCCAGATTTCCACACCTCCTCCTTGCATCTCAGGGAGGGGGGGCGGGGGGGTGGTGCATGGGAAGGAGGGGGACAGTTCCACCCCTGGATTTTATTTTATTTTATTTTTTTTTAAGATTTTATTTATTTTTTAGAGAGTGAGTGAGAGAGAAACAGCATGAGAGGGGAGAGGGTCAGAGGGAGAAGCAGGCTCCCCGCTGAGCCAAGAGCCCGATATGGGACTCGATCCCAGGACGCTGGGATCATGACCTGAGCCG